TAAGAAATATCAATCCAGATCCCCCGTTTACTAGGGTTGGTTGCTATATTATCAGGGTGAGTTTATGGAGTGAGTCCACTCAAAATTCAAAACTTATTCGTTTGATGGAATGAACAATACTTTTAAGTTCCAGGGACTGTTATTCTGATGGATTACCTGATCCACAAGAAGAGTTACATTTGAACCAGCTGCCAGCGCCACAATTCTGAATTTATCCGGGTTCTCCGCCACTATGTCTAATGTCTGTATAAACAACAGAATCCGATTATAAGCAACTAATGTGATTCCCAGAATTTGTTTCTTTAAGAAAGAAAAAGGGGCTTCTTTTCCGCCACTAAATAGACTGTTAAAAACTTTCTAATTCATGTGATGCTTATACAGCAAGATACAACTCCACACAAATGAAGTAAATCATGTTATTTCAATATTTGAGCTTCCAACCTTCTATCAAATAAATTCTCTCTTTTCTGATAACAACTCCATACAGGTCTTACAAGTATATTAGTATCTTTAATCTCCAATGAAAAATTTTAAAAGAAAAGAAACAATCTTTTCGATACCTGAGTTCCAATGGAACCGGTAGATCCAACAATCGAGATAGGCTTTGGACCGTCCCAAGTCCTGCGGCTTGTCTCCGCAACGGCACGTCCAGGCCAAGCTGGAGGAGGTGTCTGTGCAGCTGAGCATTGAACTCTTCTCCCAATTACAGTTCCGCAATCTGTCCTCCTCAAAGCAAACCCACCTATCAACAAAAAAAAAACATCATTAATACTGGTATTACCAATCCACCCATAAAACATCATTAATCAAGAAACTAAATCTACTTAACAAACATAAAATTATATCAATAACTAAATCATCAAAATTCAGAGTTCGTGCAAGTACAATTTAAACACAAAAGCACATAAATCCACTTCATCATATGAACTTTTAATTTTACAAAAAAGCAGATGGACCTCATCACTTTACAAACACAGAAATCAACAGAATCACAGTAACCCATTTGAACAGTAACGTCAGCATGCACTCTGGAAAGCTAGAAAAGGATAAAGTCTTCCATCTTGCTAGTTTTCCTGCGTTTTCTCGGGAACCAAACAGAAAGTTGAAAGCGAGAGAAGGACAGTAACTGCTACCTGGAAGCTTAGGGAGGTGGGTGCTGGACTTGGTGGAATCCAAGAAAGAGATGGCTTTGATTTCAGCTGGAGATAATAAATTGAGAGCCATCCAATCCAATCCAAATTCAACTTTTCTTAATTCAAATCAACAAAAAGCAATCAGCTTTGAGATAAATGAATAAAAACAAGAGATTTGAGCCAATATTTCTGTGGTGCTGGAAATCGCATAGCTTTATAGTAATTTGTAATGGGTTTTCTAGTAAAATAGGAAATCGGATTTCTAGAAAAATTAATGAAAATCATTTAAAAACTGTGGGTTTTAATTAAAAAAATAAAATAAAATGTAAGGTAAATAGTATTCGTATTGATTTTTTAGTGTAAAAATGTAATTTTTCGTTAAAATAAACAGTATCAAAAATTTTTCATTAAAATTTTTTTTTTCCCTTCTAAATTATTTTGCTTTACCATTTTTAGTAAAAAAGTATTAAATAAATAATCAAAACATGGGAAGTGAGGAGTGGACTGATGACTAAGGACGAAAGTGTAGCAACGGATTCAGATTCTTATGGGGAACTGATGAACAGTAAATTCGATTCTTCGTTTAGCATACGACGCCGTTTTGGTGTTAGCAGATTATTATTGTCTGAGACTTGGGAGATTATGCTGCTTATAACATTTGATGATATTCCTTTATAATCCATCCAAAACATTTCATCTGAAAAGGGAATTGATATTGTCTTGTATATGAAATGGAAGGCTTACAAATCTCTCCAGATTTCTACATGACATTGTTAATATGTTACATGCTGGAAACACAGTCCATCTGATTTTTACATGACATTGTTAATTTGGAAAGCTTTTACAGTGTGTCGAAATTCGGTCTAGTTTGTTAGAAACACGGTTCGTCGTGTTTTCAACACTCTAAAAAATCTCTATGTTAATTTGTTAGGTGTTTATATTATCATTAATAATTAATGCGCATGTTACAGATACAACAAACAATTAATGTGAAAGTTTAAATTTTTTGAATACCAACTAGACTGTTTAATTTAATTTAGTGGCATTCAATCCAAAAATTATTAAAGAAAATTCCGAGTTCAAATATCATAAAGGATGTGCCGAGACACATTTTTTTACATCTTGCACGTTCTCTTAATTTATGGCCGCTTGGATCAAATGAATTTAAAAAAAAATAAATGATAGAAATTAACAAAAAAATATATAAAAAGTAAAAAATAGTATGTAAATAGCACACTCATATCGTAAATGTATCTTGCCCGTCTCCAAAGATGACAGAAGAGGAGGATCTTGCCTCATTTTTTTATTCCGTAATTATTTATCATTTTATCCATGTATGATTTCTCTACTGTGTAAAATTGAAAAACAAGAGAAATTGTATAGTGTAGGGCCAGTCCAAATTTCAAAGGGTAGACACAGATGCTGACTTGATCCCCTTTTTTTCTTTATTTGTCTTGTTTGTTTTCTTGTGTTTTTTTTTTTTGGTCGATTCTTTTATTTTCATGTCAGGCCAAAGGATTAAGGTACCTGATGCATCGAGGTTGAGTAGTAGATCCCTAATCACAAGAAGTTAAACAAGTTAGAAAGTGCTCCTTGAATCCACCACCCACCATAACATGTTATAATAGTCATTATATTAATGATGGGAGTAGTCATTGGAGTTTCCAAAATATAAATGTGCATTTCAAATTTTCTATACTTAGATTAAAAAAAAAAACTATTATAAAGAGTACATATTTAAATTCAGTTTTAATGATGTGAAATGAAATTCTTAATATACCTCTAAATTTAATGGGGAAATAGACCGCATTAGTTAAAAAGGTCAGTGGTACAACATATTGTTAAGCTCGATAATTTAAGAAACTAATGAGAGTTCAGGGACTAATCTTAAACGATGAGTAAAATTTAGGGACTATTGTTATAATTAAACCAAGGATAAATGAAGATTGGAGAAATGATTGTAATAGAGATGTGGAAGAAATATACAATATAAAATCCAAAAATTGAAATACATTTTAAGATTGTTTCACTTTTTTGTTTCATGCCTGCTTCATCCCTCATTTCTCTCATATACTTTCCATTTGTTTGTAGCACTAAAAGTAAAAGCTAAAATCTTAAACCGAAGGATATATTTGATAATACTCTTTAGTTTTTAATTTTCACTTTTTATGTTAAAAATAAAATAAAAATACAAGGTAGAAAATGAAGATAAACAAGGATAAAGAAATGACGGTGGCCTGAAAGTGGGAAAGTGAAGAAAACTAGTAGGTTTTCTTTTCTAGTTTTCATTTCTCCCTCTCACACACCCGTTTAACGCCTCACAAATCATTCTTTATTTTTGACGATCAAATTTAATAAATCACGAAAATAAACAACAACTAAGATTAAACAGAAGTACGTGAGAGGTTCTAAAAGATGTTTGTTTTTCATTTCCCTTCATCTATAAACACACTCCTCCTCTCTTTGCAATAAAAATGTAAAACTTAAACCCAAAACAATTCTTTAAACCCGAAATGATTATCAAACGAGTCTACACTGTTTTTCGTTTTTAGGTACACTTGAAATTAAAACCAAATTAACTTCTTTGTTAGAACAGCTCACAAAGTTGGTAACCACCATAAAAAAAAAAAGCTAGACCCACCCAAAAGGCATGAAGACAAAAACTAATAAATAAATTTATCAATAAGAGATGGACGGCCAGAAGTGTCCAGCTCTACAAACCCACTTCAGGTTTTATACAGAAAACTTACTGTATATGTGACCAAAACGCGCGTTTCACAAAGAACCTTATAGGATGATAATTTTATCTCTCCTTCTAAACTTCACAATGATTTTCAACTAGGCTGCCGACGGTGTGAATTCTGCACCAGGGCAAGAATAAATACTGCGTCAATACAATAAAACACAACTGCTTGTACGCGTATTTCTTCACGAAGCGGATTTATACAAGAAATTATGAGTAGTATCTAGGGTCAAGTTGCCCAATGTAGAGGTGGACATGGTATGGTTCAGTTCGGTGGGACTAGAACCAAAACCAAAATTGAAATTTTGTTTGGTACGGTTCGGTTTTACCAAATTCATACTGAACAGATCGGTGCAGGTTCAACTTTGATTCAATTCAGTATGTGGTTCGATTTGGGGTAAACATACAGGCCCATTACAATTTTTTGGGTCATGGGCTATTTTGCATTTTGTTTTCAAATTTTCAACCTGAAGTTTTTGGTCCCAAACAATGTTTTTGCCTTTTGGGCATGCAATTCAATCGATTTCTTTTTTTTTTTTTTTTTGGACCAACTCAAATCTTCTTCATTTTCATGCAAGTAAAATACATTTTTCAAACAAGTTTAAGCCTAATGAAATGGGCATCTCATATACTATGCCTAGTTTTTTATTTTTTTTATTAAACAAACGATATTATCTACACTAAAAGGAAGTATGTGAGTTTAGCCTCACAATAGACTAGTAATAATATGATTCAAATTCGCCTTTAACGAGAATCGAACCTAAGACCTCTCACTTACAAGTGAAAAGGAATATTGTTAGATCATAGGGTTAAGTGGCATAATATGCTCAATTGTATAAACAAGGAAATTAAGAAAAAGGAAATATAACATAAAAAGCAAACAAATAAAAAAAAAAACCCAATGGAAAATAGATAGGTGACAAAACACTCGACCACTTTATTCTACCGTTAATTATTCTTAAGTACATCAGAACCAATTTTTTTTAAAAACACAACAATACCAAACTGATCCTAAGTCCGACAAAATATTTGGTGGTCGCATATTTCAAGGCACATTAATCCCTTTGTAAGATTGATACAAAGATTCGGCTTGAGCAGGATGGACTGAGATAGAAAGATGCAAATAACATTAAGACTGCGAACTGATTCAGCGTTCGGCTATTTTTTATATAATAAGTTGATAACAACCACCATAAAAAGCCCAAGAAGCATCAAGAGAAAATTCAATAAACAAATTTATCAGACCACCATAGCCTAAAATAGCTTTTGGAAAAGCACTTTAGGATTCAGCCTTTGGGCAACTTATTTTATATGTCAAGTTGTCAACATCTTCTTCTACTATCTCAACTCATCCATGCATATTTTACTTCTGTAACTCTGAGTTCAACTTTTGAATGATTTTCAGGTAGGTGTCCCAAGGTGAAGAAATCTGCACCGAGAATGCAGTGTCAATATAACATTTAACGAAATGAAAAAAATATGGCTTCCTGAATCCTGATGTTCAAAAACAGAAACATACGTGTATTCCTTGTGCAAATATATTAACTTAAGAAGCGTACATGACAGACGTAGATATACGAGTAGTACCTGAGATTAAGGTATTCAATGAGATGAGCTCAAGACTACTAGTAGCTCACTTCCTCTTCTTGTATCTCAGTTGTTGAGCCCAGCGGTGAGCTTCCATTGATTTGCTCCGGTGCACCTCCAGATTCAGCTATCTTTGTTATCCTCTGCAACTCATCGGTCCCTTGTGATGGGCCATCGGTCACTTCTGATGGATGCGCAAAGGGCAGATCGTTACCCAGCTGTTCTTTCTGCACTGGTGGTTTTGGCCGTCGGATGGCTTCAGCTGCTGCTGCCATTGCAACTGGGGGTGGCTGGGGAGGAACCCATGTACGCTGAACTGGCTGAACTGGTTGATCTCTAGTTCGTACGCCATAAGACCCTCCATTGACTTCATTTTCTATCTCAGTAATTCTGGGATTTTTCCGCTGCTGCTGCTGCCACCGCGACACTGTACTGTCACCGTTTGACAGATAATTGAGCCCATTGTCATGAATGCTGGAATTCAAACCTTCACTGCTTACTTGAGACTGAAGTACTTGGCTCGAGTTGTTTTGGACCTGACCAACTTCCCAAGGCTACCCCAGAAAACACAAAGTAAAAAAATCATCTCCAAGTATCAAAGCATGAAAACTGAATATTATTTACACTTAGTCAAACTTTTGAATACAGTCAAATAAATCTCTCTTTAATTTCATGTAGCTTACAAGTAACTCTGGTAACATTCCAAGATAATCTTTACGAATATGATAAAACGAAACCATTTTCCTTTCTTCCAGAATCCAGATTTTGAAGGACACGCTTCTTAAATGGTCCAACAAAGTTTACAAATCTGGAGTGAATCCAATTCGAATCCTCTTTTAACCCACCGGAAACCAAAAATTGGTAGCCCAATTTCAAGTAACTGGCTTCAGAGGAAGAAACTATTATTTTCTATAGCTAAAATGATTTAATACACTCAATGAGTCTACATTAGTCCATAACCTGTTACCGTTTCCTTTTACTGAACGGAGAAAGAGGAGAAGGTGAAAAACTCTTGAAAGCAATACCTTAGCTCTAGGTGCCAAGCGAGGATTTGATAGTTGCTGATTAGGGTTCGGCGGTGAATCATCAATGTCCTGCATATAATCCAGAATGACAAAGAATTAGCATTTAATTAAAAAAATAATAAAAATAAAAAAATAAAATAAAATAAAGGTTGAAAGAATTTACTTTGACATTAGGAGGTTTCTCCCCTCTTTGTACCATGGCCATGATCTGCATTATAATAAAAGTTAAAAATGTGGTCAAGAAGTTAAATACATGATAATACTCTGGAGCCAAAGACCTACAATCTGCAAACTCAATTTGCAGTTGGAATGATAAAGACTACCAGACAAGCAACAGGTTAAAAATTTCAAAGTGGCCTGAAACATAATTTTCAACCTCGTCAACTTATAATCTTTTAGACCTCCTGAATCATGCATGATTCATCCATTCTAACCTTAGATTTGGCTACTCTTAATAACAAATTCACGAAAGTTAAAGAGTAAACTGATAGCCCCTGGGAAATCCCATAAACCAGCTCTTCGAATCTACTGTCACTGGATGACAGTCCAAGCACAAGTTGAGAGAGAAACATAATAGTATTGCTAGATTATTTAATCACATCGAGTTTATATGTTCTCAGAACTCCTTCAAACATTATATGGGTTTTAAGGATAAAAGAGAAGCTCTAAATAATAGACCCATGTACTACACACCATTTCTTATGATAACATTTCCAAGCAATGGAAAGGCCATATAAAATTACTTACGTCCATGTAAGACTTTGGGTGAGGTGCAGCAGATGGTTCTATAGATGCAGCAGCAGAGGAAGATTGCACTGTACAGAGAAAATTGAAACAATATGAAGCAGAAATCAATATACATTAGAAAGATTAAACAATCAGAAATTTGACAATTGATTAGAAAATAATAACCTGAGTGCACGTCATACTCTGCCTTGCCATTCACATATTGTTGCTGTAAAACAGATACATGATAACAGATTTTTAGAATAGATCTGGATATCATATTTCTATAGCATTCCAATATCAATAAGAATTTCAAATTTATGCCTACTGTCAGATGACCTTTGAATTTGTGATAGCGATGCGATTGTCTTCATGATCGACAAGAGAGGTTCTTGAGGCTTTTGTTTCTCCTGATAGTTAGGGCGAAAGATGGCATAATCAAATAATCATCATCAGATTCCAATGTACAAACAAGAAGTTTCTGGTTGCAAACAAATGAGATGTAACTGTTCTTTCGGGAGAACTATCAATTATAGCCACTTGATTAAACAATAAAGTATTCCCAGTACCTTCCAATTTCCGTATGGAATTGCTCATTGACTTCATTTCTTGCACTTGCACATCTAACAAACTCATGAGTTCCACGAAGTGTTTCCTCTCTGGCCCAAGTATAAACCATGGTGCAGCAATCATGAAAAGGTAATACTCATCAGTATAAGAAACAACAATGATAACAAAGTATAAATTCAATCAAGACAGAGATAGGTTACAATGATTGGTGAAAGAAGATCACAATCCCACCTTCGGTCTTAGAATTCAGCATTTCCTGGATTACTTTTGCCACATCTGATGCTGCAGCTGCGGCTGTTTTAGCAGCTGCCGCAGCTTCTTCTGCTGAACTTGGTTTCATATCAACTTTGTTTTCAATGTCATTCTCATCTTCCAATACAACCTTGCGTATCCAAGCCTTCAATCTAGGAATAAGAGATTTCTAAAACAGGGAACATGTTATTAGACAGCAATCAAGTTGGAACTATAGAGTGACAGAAGTCCTATGGTAAACTGGGTCAAGAAGCACATAAAAGCAATATAACATGAAGGACAAAATTAACATGTCATGATTGTAGAAGATTGAGTACAAATACCTTAATTAATACAGCTGTTCCACAACCGGAGAGTGTTAGGAATCCTATGGCAAAAACGGCATCAAACCAGCGAAATCTATACCCAGATAATGCACCCACAGGGGAAATGACTTTAGTGGGAGCAGTGGGTGCAGGCTGTAAAGCTTGAGTTGTATTTTGTGCCTGAACATTTGACGATGTCTTCACCTGTCCATCTGCTACAAAAAAGCATATACAAGCAAACTTATTTAAACAGTAGACAACTTGACAAACTCAGTTCAAAACCAAAATACCATGTTTTTGTGACGGTGTTACCTTGATTTCCAGTAGTTGCCTGCGTACCTGAAGGTGGGTCCTGAAATTTGCAAACAAACAATGTCAAACACGAAAAACAATGACAATTAACAATTAGCTTGAACACCAAGAATCAATCACTTACAGGCACACGCCGAAACGCTTCATCAATCTCTTCTTTTGTGAGACCCTTCTTCTCGAGAAAAGACCGTCTGTAAACAACAGGAGAGCCCCTAACTTTCGGGTGCGAAAGGAATTTCACAGCATTTTGCACTTGTTCCTCCCTCATTGGTTCGGAATTCACAAACACCGACGGTGTAGAACTTTGCTTAGCAGGCTCAGCCCCAGCATCTTGCTGACCCTCAATTGTGGGTTGAGCAAGCCCTGCTGCTCAAGTTAACAACCACAATTATAATTTTCACATAAATTGGACTAAAGCTAATTTTGCAAGAAGTGTGAATTTTTTCATAGACCATCAATTTATTCAATTAATCAAACAATAATCATAAAAACCAATCTCCAGGTTTTTATTCAATCAATTCCACCAGGAACTAAATTTCCCTAAGCAAATTATTCAGTAAAATAGCAAAAATTTACATAACTAATAGAAAATTCAAATTGTTCATTCAATTTCCAATTGCATAACTTCCTCAGCAACTATACGAACAATAAACAAGAAAATTAAAGTAAAAAAGAAACAAATTTGAGAAAATAAGAGAGAGAGGGAGAGAAATGGCACCTGGGTTCTTCTCTTTGTCCTCCATCCTCCAACTGAATCACTCAGCACAGAGAGGAAAAAAAAAAGTACCAGAAACAGTGAAAAAAAATGGATAAATAATCAACAAAAACTGAATAAAAAGCTTGCAATTAACAATTAAAATTGTGAGATTTTGATCAAGAAACAACTTACAGGAGACGATGGAAATAGTGATGTCAGCGGAGAGCTAAGGTGGGCTTTTGCTCGTCCCAAGGCAGCTTGCTTTTATGAATTATTGGTTTTCGGAAGGAAAGAGAAAAAGTCTGAAACTTTGCGAGGGGAGATTTGCTGATGCAGATAATTGTGTTTTTACTATCGGCTGCGGTGCCTTGTGGGAGTATGGGCTTTTGTTGGGCTTTGGATTATGAGCTGAATTTATTTGGACCCGTGATGGGAAAGAAGAGGTAAAGAAACTCTTGGCCCAAGCCCAAAGGCCCATAGCAAGCATTCTCGTCCTTTATTAATTCTTTCTCCTCGCTTTCTTCGAACTCATATCCAAAGATTTCCTGTAAGAGGATGGTATGATGGTTTATTACAGGTTTTGGAGATATGAATAGGATGAGCATATGGATGAGCCGGAACATGGATAGCGTAGTGTTTCGAGCCGGCGAGAGTACGAGCAGGGCCGTTCTGAGACTGTTGAGGTCCGGGGGGACTTCAAAAATGTGCCCTAACTTCATATAAGAAAAATTATTTGTTTTCACATGTAAGACTTCGATAAAGTTATAATTAGAAAAACATTTCGAATTCAATAATTTAAACACGGAAAAAACTAATTTATTTTGTATTGGGAGAAGAGAACCGAAAAACCACGGGCTTACGAATAGATAGATGATGAGTTTTTTTTTTGTTTTTCTTCTATCTGAACTTTTAAAGTGTTTTTATATAACTTGTGATGTGTTTTTTCTTATTTACTAACCTTGTCAAGATGGGATTAAAAAAATAATCATATTTTCGAATATTTAGTTGATATATATAGGCAGTGAATGAGACATGCATCCATTATTTCTTGATGGCTAATGCTAGGGATACCAAATTTTTAAACCAAATTTTGTAAATTGCATGATGCTGGGGATACCTAACATGCATCCTTTATTACTTAAAGGTTGATTAACGTGCTTATTTCTTATTAGTGACACATCATATGTGTTGCAAATTTGATTTGGTCTACGCATTACTCTTTGTTGAAGGTTAGACCTGAATTGGAATGAATGTCTAAAAATTGCAACCCGCACAACTACTAGCTAGCAATTAAAAAGAAATTAACAACCAAACAGAAAATTATCACATCCCCGCCGGGGGGGACCACTTCCCGGGCCTGCTCCACCACCTTAGCACGATATTGTCCACTTTGGGCTTACCATTCCCTCACGGTTTTGTTTTTGGGAACTCACGAGGTCACCCATCATGGAATTGCTCTAGCCTCCTTCTCGCTTAACTTCGGAGTTCCCATGGAACCCGAAGCCAGTGACCTCCCAAAATGCCTCGTGCTAGGTAGAGATGGGAATATACATATAAGGATCACTCCCCTGGGCGATGTGGGATCTTACAATCCACCCCCCTTGGGGGCCCGATGTCCTCGTCAGCACACCACGGCCAAGGTTAGGCTCTGATACCAAATTGTCCCGGGCCAGGATGTGACAAAAATGGTAAAAATTGAAAAGAATAAAAAAAAAGCACATAGCATTTCAAACTTAAGAACTTTCGTTAATTTTAAACAACAAAAACTATTACTTCTGATTAAAAATTTCTTGATCATTTTACCAAACTTTAAAAAGTTTATACTCTTACGAAAATAAATTCTAAAATTTAAAAATTTATACTCTTATGCAAAGAAATTAATAAAAATGGAAAATAAAAAAACACACATTATTTTTTGAATTTGAGACCTCCTTGTTAATTTTAAACATCATGAACTACCACTTCTAGTTAAACTTCTTAATCATTTGACCAAAATTTATAAATTTATACCCTTATAAAAAGTCAATAAACATATAGTGATTTGAACCTAGGACATCCTTATTAATTTTAAACAACATAAACCACTAGTTCTAGTTAAACTTCTTAGTCATTTAACCAAACTTTATACATTTATATTATGAAATTATATATGAATATAACACCTGAAATAATTTTGGTGCCCCCGATTTTTTTGGGCCTCAGACGGTCGCCCAGCCCGCATTGGGCCTGGGCAGGCCATGCGTACGAGATTACTGATCAAAGACTCTTCAATTGAGATGGGCTGAAGACCTGCTAAGGAAGGGGTCGGATTTATCCCAACGAGAGCAAGTGTAAAATAATTAGGTCGTGCTTGGTATTGTTTTTTTTTTTCCTTTTCACCAAAACTTCTTTACCTCAAAGTTAAGCAACAAAAACTGTTTAGAAAAAATAAAACATCTTGCTTATCATAAGAGTAATAGTTTCCTGATTACAACTTTCAAAAACAACATGTAGATTGTGTTTTTAAAAGCTACTTTAATAAAAAACTGAGTTGAGTCTTTAATAAATATTTTGAATTCTTGTAAAACCCTCATTAATTTTTTTAAATGACATTATTTGCCTTATTTTAGACACATTTTGTCCACCTCACATACCCTGACTACAACCATAATTGCCAAAGTTGTTATCGCCACCACTATTGTCACCACAACTAGGACCACAATTGCCATCATCGTCGAAATATTTTATTATATTTTAATATTATTTATGTTGTTTGATCGCAACGAAGTACCAAATTTTTCGAAACCTAACATGATAAGAAAGAGATAAAAATAGGACCGCGTTTTGTCAATGACTATTGAATGAAAGACTTATATCGATCCATGCGTAGCTTTGTGGTGAGAGGGGCACATTCATTACTTTTTCTTAATAGAACCAAAAAAAAAGGACAAATGCTTGAAACTTGAAAGGACATGTCACATAATCCAAATGGACATGGACATCTTGAAGCTAGAATCTTCGTTTGCATCATGGGGCATGTCACACACGCATGTTGTAATGCCACTAAACATCTGACCAAAAACCATCTCTCTTTCGAAACCTATACCACGAGTTACTTATCAATTAATAATCAACCAATTCTAAGTTTTACAAACAAGTGTGAAACTTATCAATTAAGAGCAATTAAGAGCCAACCAATTCTAAGTTTCAAATTCGAACTTACGATTTAATTGTAATGTAATCTGTTTATTTGACTGTTAAGTGATGACATAATAAATATAAACCCACATTTATTTTTTATGTTGTGGAACTTTGCAGAGGGGGTTTAACGGTGGCTTAGGATTTTTACCACCTACAAAAGTAAGGATAAAAACACTTAAATACTTGTAAGAGTACAAGGTAACTGTAGTATAGTCGGCTCTAATAAGATCGTTCTCCACAGGGATTGAGTGAATAACTTCTGTAAATACCAAATCTTAATTAATTATTTGAAAACAAAGTTTGGAAGAGGTTGATTTTATTACCTAAAATATTAAAAACGAATTTAATTAAAAACAATTAAATAAATTGGCAAAGTAAAGGAAACAAAAGAAAATAGTTTTGAAAATCAATTTGAGCACTAGGGTTCTGCCATCACCTTAACAATCTTACACAGTTCTTCGAATCACTTATGAATTACCCATGCATATTTTGAAGGTTAGGTTTTCCTAAAGTATATCCTACTTGGAAGCTCCAACATAGAACATATATTTAACATGCAATCCATCCACGGTGTCCAGATCGAATGTGAATATGCAAGACTCATTAAGTTTTGTGAAAGCCTCTTGAAAAAACCATGCAACCCTTAAGATGTGTCGTCTATCCTAAGAAGTTACACATACTAACCATAAGAAACCTTAGTCAATTCCAAGGATAGCCTCCACCAAAATTGCATCAAATTACTTTTTTAAATATCTTAATGGTGGCCAATCACTAAGACAAATAGATGGTTTTAACTGGTGATTAACAATTCAAAACTTGCATTTGTAATATCATAAGTAAATTGAAAATAAACTACATATTCTTACTAAGGCTCGTGGCCTCGCCCTATCAAACGAAATTAGTTACGAACAATCATAAAACAAAATAATATTAAAAACATGGATAGAAAACACCTTGAAAATAAACTTGAATCGTCAAAAGCTCTCTAAACTAAGCTCTCCAAAGTAGTGCCTTCTCTCTAAAGTAATGCGTTCGTCTCCCTAATGGCTAAAAAGCCTTATTTATACTACTAGAAAATAAAACCTACCTATAAAAGGTATTAGATAAAACTAGGAAACATAATAAAATAATAAACTAGCAAATAAAAGGTTTCCTATTTAAATTGAAATTCAGACTTCATAGAAGATCCATCTTTTGACCAACCAAATCAACTCCGATTTGGTCCCAAAAGGTCTATTTTTAAAGCTTGAGACGTCCCTAACAAATCCTCAGAAGTAATCTTCCGCAAAATATGTCATCTTGACATTCAAAATACCCAAAACATCCAAAAACGTTAATCTGGGAAAGCTGCGCGTTGGGCTTTTATTTCATTGCCACAGCCAAACACCTCGGTAGAAAAATCTAAAACTTTGATACGAATAAATCTACAGACTCACGAACATCTTGCAATTGAAATTACTCCAAAATTCATCCATTTGACCACGTTTTACCCCAGAGGACGTCGAAAGTCCTACATTAAGAATATAAATCAAAGTATTAAAATTCTCATAAAATAACTAATAAATTATAACTAAGAATAGGGTAAAATATATAGTATAATATCGACTTATCAGTGATTCGCTTGTTACGGATTGTAGTCAAACTGAGGAGAGAGAGAAAAAAGAAGGTGGTCATCAGTATTAATAGGAGGGTGGGGATGGTGTTTATCGACAATTGCTATGAGGAAGGAGCTGGGGAAGGAGGACATCGGAAGAGAGGGGAAGGGGCACGAGGGGGATGGTATTTAATTATTTATACTTATCCAACAAGAAAAATTGTAATTAAACCTTTTTTATTTATTTTTTATCCACATGTGGCAAAGTTGGGATCCACGTCATTACTTAAGAGTTAATTTATCAGATTTTCTTATGGATGTATGACATTGCAACTAAATCGTAAGTTTGTTTATAAGATTACAATGTTTTAAAGATGTTGTATCGGTTTGTAATTACCCTCAAACTTGAGAGTACCAAATATAATTTACCCTGTGAAATATAACAACCCAACACCTTAAAGGTAGTTTATGAAGAAAGTTGAGGTTCCACTATAAAACCAATTGGCAATACTGAGAGTAACTCAACCTCTTATAAGCTCTTGAAATATTTTTTTTTCTTCAATGTGAGATGGATACTCAACACAACCTGTCATATGTGCCAAATTTTCAAGCATAGCACATGGACAACATAAAAGGAGTGATGTGAAGTGTGGCCGTTAAGCATCACACGAGAGACAACCTACTCTAATACTATGAAGAAAATTAAGTTTATACCATACAGCTAATTGATTTTATAATGCAACCCCAACAACTTTTTTTCAATTTATAAATGCCTCTTCGTCCTAGTTTATAGATGCATATAAGAAACGAATTTGGAAAACAACAAAATACTCAAACGAAAAATTTTATTTGATCTCTGCACCAGCTTAAAAACTCCTTTAATAAAATTCCAACTTTGCCTTGAAATAAATATTTTTTTTTTTTAACAATTAGAACAAGCCACCATCGTATAAAACACATTGGAGGTTTCACGTTGCCCAGCAAACCAGGGCCCCCTTCCTTTGTTTCTTTTCTTGGCGTAACGAAACTCCGACGAATCCAATAGGTGCTCTGCTTTCTTTCTTGTTTTTTATGCCGACTTGGATTCAATCAATCAGGCAAGAGAAAGGGATGTGTGAATTAATGTTGACGGAGAATAGAGCGGAGCCATGTTCACCTACAACGTATGACGGTTCAGATTCTTCTTGAGGTTACGAAAATAAGAAATTTTTAATTGTGACGAGAACATAAGTGGTATACTACATATTTTAATAGAAGTAGTGATAAATTTTATTTTTTAAGTTATTAACTTTTTAGCACACACATTCCATAATTTGTATAATGACATGTGGTGTACCACCTCGTGTACCGGTCACATTGAAAATGGGCAGCCTAATTTAGTATCGAATTCACCATCCACGAGATTCGAACCTAAGGCCTCTCATTTCCAAATAAAGAGGAATACCACTAGAGTGTAGTACTGAATGACTTAAAAATGTCTTAAAATCTTAAAAATATTGATAAAACAAAGTATGCGATAGAATATTTCAGCTTACAAAGTTCATATATCATGCCGTTCTATTCGAAACAGCTAGTCATAGACCCAAATCGGACCAAATCTGCAAAGCTTGCCTGATTTGTGCTTTTTCATTTGGTTCATGTGATCTACATAAACAATAACCAAACCATTTCCTCCAATTTAATAGACACAACATGTGACATATAGTACATGTATAAAGTTCCACCAATTCGAATAAATAGAATACTTACGTTAAAGCTAGTCCGGTTAGGATCTAAATGGTGAGAGCAGATAGATAAATGCATTAGAATTAGATTAGGTCAAAGATCCGTTCCATGCAACTAAAAGTAAAAGAATACTTTAGTTGTACACGTACACTCTTCATGTTTCTCTTAGCTAGCAAAGTCTTTGCATGCATGATGCACTTTGTGTTGTGACTAATTTGTAGGGGAGTACAGAGATTCGATTACGAACCCTACTCTCTTTCCCTATGTACATATTCGTTGCAGCTTTGAGAGGTTTGAAAGGCATGCAGGTACCTGATATCTCTGCATTCGTTAATCATTTGTGGCATGTGCCAATTAAACCTATTTTCCAGCGTACAATACAGATTATGAGCAGCGTTTTTCAACTTTTAATAATGTCCTAAAAACGTGGCAATTTGGATTTATTGGACCACCTGATCATGATAAATATAAAGTAGAGACTAAGTGATGGCTTAAAGGTAACTAGCTAGTGCTTTCCTGCTTGTTCATCCACTGTTTACAATAGAGCTTTTTATGCATATGAGATTCCACAGATGATTACTTAAAAGATGCACAAGTTTATTTATACTATATATAGCCACAATACACTTCTTTTTCGACCAAGGATTTTTATACTTATGAATTCGTACCTAAATGCCGATGCAGTTGTAGCTATTACATTGACAAAGTTATTGTTCTCTACTAGAATTTAAGTAAATCGATTATAAATGAGTACTCATTAGATTGAGTTCTCATTGGTACGAAATCTCATTTAAAATGCACCGAAAGGGATATAAATCAATGGAGAAGAATCAAGAAATATTACTAAAGAAAGAAAAATTATATCCTGAAAACAAATCTTCTTTGGAGAGCAAAATGCTGTAATGGACTCTTCTTTCTTAATGCCAATGATTTTGTTGTTGAAAGGGAAGTGACGTTCAAGTAGACAAATAAAGCAACTTTTTACATCATTTAAAAGAGCAATTATTTACATGTAGTGGGGCAATTCAAACCCATCCAACAGCTACTTTCCAAGAGGGGAGCTTTAGGGTTTGGGAACAAAAAATTGACAAGCTCAGGGGCTGAAAGGCAAGCCCATTTGGCCATATCACAATACCCTTCTGCTTTTCGGCTCCCTCTCTCGACAAAGCGTTGCAGTCGTCAGTTTTTCCTCTTTGGTCATTTTAGCTGGGTAATACAGGACAAATTCCCATAGGCCATCACAAATTTCCTATCTTTTACCTACTTTTTTACCCACCTTGATTGGGTTGCAAAATCTCAGAGAAATTAGACAACTACTATGTGTTCGATTTCAACAGTGCAACAATTTATTCGCACGTGCACAAAGGAACCAAGAGAAGTAGACGAGGCTTGCATTTTTGCTTCCTAAGATCAACTGTAATTTTTATAAAGGAGCAAATTTTTCTGAGTCACATGACATGGGAAAGTGGATATAAGTTACTCTAAGTTGAGATTCTTGCATGCAGTTGAAGATATATACCTTCATCATTATTACATTTATCACGTGATATATCTAGATGATCGAGAGATTTTTACACGTAACTGAAGATGACTCTATTGTAGTCACCACGTGACCAAATATTTCCCGGATGTGCACTCCCAAGGTTTCTTCTACCTATACTGGACATGTTGCATTCTTGTTGTGTTCCGCACGAATGATATTTTTTTATAATGTAGTTAACTGAATTTTTTTTAAATGCATGCAGCAGATACGTTGTTGATGATTGATATTGCTGACAATTTAACTTTATAGTTATTGATTCAAATATTATATATATCATCAAGAATGCAATTAAACTTAAGGTAAAATTTTTATATGTATATATATTGGTCAATCTTAATAAGGGAAATATATATCCTTATTCAAACTATGGGACTAAGGTAATGTGTATGGTTTTTATGTAAAAGTTGAAGGAAGAGGACCACATACCAAAACGGTGAACACTGACTCTGGCAGAGACAGTAGAACCTTATACAGCCACTGAACACTCATCGACTTGTCCTGATGTGAATGACTGTGTCTCCACGTTTGATTTAATAGATTTTGCTCATGGAATCTTCAAATCATCAAAAATTTCACTCAACTGGTATTTCAGAACTAATTAACAAAAAATAAATTAGATTATCAATTAGTGAAAATACAGATTAAAGATCTACAATAATACAATAATAAAGTCTACAAATTATCAAATTGAAAAGGGTAGTGATCATCCAGAGTAGGGTCCAATAAATAAGAGCCATATAGATTAAGGTCATTGCTAATCATCATCGCCTCCCACATGTCGCTAAAACTAACCCCACTTTTAAAGCCAATATTATTGTCCTTGACGTTTATTATCTCATCATCAAATCCATTAATGACAGCTGCAACTTCATCATCACCGAATGTATTGGAATTGGAATCAGAATTGGGAAGTGGCTGCAGCTCGGAGTTTGAGTTCGACGAGGGCGTGAAGGAGTTCTTTTTTGCTCGTTCTGAGTCAGGATAAGTCTTGGCTTTGGTCTTTCCTTTCTTTGAACTGACACCAAGCTTCTTGCTCAAATGAGTGTTCCAATGGTTCTTGACTTGGTTGTCAGTTCTGCCAGGAACACGTCCAGCAATCAAGGACCATCTAATTAGACAAAACAATAATAATCTAAGATCAATATCAAGTTGGAAAAGACAAATAGAATCAATTACAATTTCCCAACAAAAACAGAACCAGTGGAACAATAAGCAGATAATAAAGAGGCACTAAATTGTAATTAACACACAGCTTTGTTGTCTGGAAAGTTCTTTCTTTCTTTTCACCCCACCCCACCCACACCAGGCCTCGAACCTGGGACCTAATCTCACCCACATCCTCACCGCTAGGCTATTCCTAGTGGCTTTTCTTTCTTTTTGGTTTTGATTTGGGTAAATTGGTATAATTGCAAGGAAACATACGTATGCACACATCATTGTCCCCAGTAAAAACAAGAGTGGCAAATTAGGGCAAGTCTGCAACCGTAGCTGTCTAGTATTAATTACAATGTACCAGCCACACTAGGGAAAGAATAGTTGAAAATAATTGCAGTGGACACTGCCCGGTATTATTTGTTGGGACTTGGGGGTTGGGATTTCGAGATTAAGATTCTCTTCCTTCCTCTTTCCATCATCTTCTTTCACGTTCTTTATTTGTCTTTTCTTTTTTTATAAAAAAATTAATATAAGATGTTGACGTAGCTTAACCGTGATCATTCAAATAGGAGGAGAGAGAAGGAGAGAGAAAAAAAAAGAGAAGAGAATCCTACTCCCACGTTGAAACGCCAAGAAAGATGGAATAATTAACAGTGATTGCTGAAAATCATTCAACAATTATATCAAAAATTTTGCAGAAAAATTTAAGACAGAGAAGCAAGTTAATCATGCAGAAATCATAGACTCTCACCAACCTACCACAGAACAGAAGAAGAGTACATACGCTTACTTGAACCTCAATTACGTAGTTCAATCCTACCGACAAATCTACTGTGCTTACCGGTAGGCTCATTTGCTTTGAAAAATCTCCGACATTAATTTGTTTCCTAAATTATTCTGAAGGAGGAGGTTATGGAGGAACCTGTTGCCAAGGAGGTTATGGAGTCGAATGATGAGGTCATCTTCTTCCTCAGAGAAGTCACCTCTCTTCACGTTGGGACTTAGATAGTTCATCCACCTTAATCTGCAACTTTTGCCGCACCTCCTCAATCCTAACATGCAATGTTTGTGTTATGAACTTAATTAAGCAAATGATTATATATTATGTGGTAAATGTAATTACCTGTAACTTTATTGACACGATTCCACTTGCCCTTGCCATGCTCCCTGATATAATCCATTAGAATTCTGTCTTCCTCCACTGTCCAAAGACCTTTCTTATACTCATTCCCCCCACTTTCCATTCTTGCAGATGTTGTAAAGCAGGAGAGAGAGAGAGAGAGAGAGAGAGAGAGAGAGAGCTTTTGTTGGAAGTCTACTGAATGCGGTGGCCTTTCTGATGGAAATGTATAAATAGTGCTTGTGAATATATGTATAATATGGGCAAAATTAAGCTAGTAGTGCTGAGACTTGGGAGAGAGTGTGTGATTCATGTGTGATAGAATTAGTGAGTGGGTGGTGATCTAATTTCACCATCTCTCTATATCTGCAGCCATCGGCACTACTTTTGCTTGGCATACATGTACGGATATACATTTTCATACAAATTTATAAAGTGATCAAAGATACTTAGACTCTTAAAATAGTGAATTTTTCTACTATGCAGTTAACTGTACTTTTTATAATGTGAATATGTCCTTAATATTATTGATATTTTTGATAAACTTTAGGGATGTGACTACAATACTTTGGAGCATTGAATACACCGCCACTTAGATTCTTAGATTGAATCTAACGATTGTCAAAAAAATTAAAAATCCATTGGATGGAATATCCCCAAATATTGTAGATTTATACAAACTTATAGTTGTTGATATGTCGTTGATACACTTAACTGTATTTATTGTAGAAAGATTGAATATGTTATATATATATATATATATATATATATGTATGTATGTGTGTGTATATATTCTGTATGGACAGCAAAAAGCTATGGCTTCTGTAGCAGACGACCATTAACATATCATCATATCGATTGGATGACATCATTGTCAGCGCCAAACTCCTCAGTCTCTCTTTATATCTTGCTGGCGGTGCATCTGCCATCTACACATAGAGGTAGAAGAAGCTCCAATAATTTGGATGAAGTCAATTAATGAAGTTTTGGACCCTTATTGGGTCTTGGAATGAAGATCAATAAAAAGTTTAAATAAGTTGGGTGCCTAAATTCATAATTTCAGTTTGACAATGTGAGGGTGCAAATGATCAAATTTCTTAGCTTTCCAATCATGAACCAAATGACAAGAAACTTTTATATTAGTACGGTATCCCAATTCATCATTAAGGAAAAGAAAGAAAAAAAATTAACCTCCCCTATGAATAATAACAAACTTTTTACATATGTATTATTCTTGTAAAGTGTTATTCACATACATATTTTTACTTCGCACACAACATTGTTAATATTTGGCCATTGATCTTCTTCAATTTATTTGATTCGGTGACAAAAAATTAAGGTATAATTTAGTATCATATTCTAATGGTACTTAAAATATCTTCAAAGTGATTATTCAAATGCTTGAAGGTATAATTTCAAATGTTTTTAAAGGTATAATCAAATTATCAAACACGTCTTAGTTAATGATATTTTCCTTTCAAACACTAGAAAGAGTTTTCAAACTCAGATTTCCATGTTTTATTTCTCGTGAAAATCATGATAAAGATTGGCCTGTTTTTATGGCAGAAACATAGGGACAAAGCACATTTAAGAACAAAAATAAAGATTCAAACTTCTCCATAAAAACAAGGACAATGCACGTGTACGAAATATACATGTAGCCATATATGTTCATACATGAACAAACCAATAGGACACACATGCATTACCAAAATAGGGGAACCTTAAGTCAACAAAGTTCTCTGCTTGTGAAGGCTAGGAAGAGGAGAGAATATCTGTTGTACGCAGTCTTATCTTTGCTTTGTAAAAAGACTGTTTTCATGGCTTGAACCTGTAACTTTTCGATCACATGTATTATCAAATAAAAACAAACTTGGTACATTATTAATGAGTTTACTGTTCTTTGCTGATCAAATCCATCGTTTAGAGTCTCTTTCCATCGATTGAAAATGGGGAAAAAAGTCTTTATATATCTTCGTTTGGCTTTTGGTCGCATACATGAATTGGTGAAACATTTTCGTTTGTTTATTTGTCACACTTTCACCATTTTGGTCATGTTGTTTTTTGTTTCATGGCACCTATATATATATATATTCATTTCCGTGAATGTTTAAATTGTGCACACAAATCTTTAGCCAATCATGCATGACCTGTAAATCATGGCGAAAGAAATTGAATAAGAATTTCAAATTTGAGGCAGATGGCGGACTACAAAACTTCTAAATCATTAGATTCTTTATAGGAATTGTTATTGGCATTCCAAATTTCACATTCTACACTTCAAATTTTCTATATTTAGAAAGAAAAATACACTTGTGAGGAGTATAAAATGAGATTTTTGAAATGCCAATAACACTTTCCTTCTTTATTTTTATTTTTATTTTGTTTTTGTTTTTCCAACCTAGAATTTCCCAGAGAGAGAGAGAGAGAGAGAATAGGGCTTCACTGTCTCTGAGTCTGGGGCTAGTACAGTAGTACGTATTCACAGATTGAGTTGAACTAGTTTTACTGCTACGTGATAGGAAAATGGCGACAATTGATATATGAAATTATATAATTTATATTAATCGAATAATTCAGAGTACGTATGTGATTCCAAACCCAGCTGATATACAATTAATTAATTACTCCTAGTATTTTCGTTTATCCAATGGAAACTAGCTAGCCTCTGATCGAAAACAACAAAACCATCACAAATTTTCTGAAAAACAAAGATCCACATAATACTACAACAGTTTCTCTCTATAGTTTTTACACGACTTGGTTTTTTTCTTCATATTTTCCCTAACTTCCACCCGACAGCTTGTATTCAAAGGATACTGCTTAGCGCAAAAATATCTCATCAAAAACATAAATATAAAAAATTTCACTTGCGCATTTTATACATTCACATGTAAGCAAGAATGACGTTTTTAAGAAACGGAGTTAAGGAACCAAGTATTTTTCCATAATTTAAGGGCTCAAAGTTCACTTGCATGCAGCATATGAGATCATAACCTGCATGACCTAGTTGCTACTTTTCAGAAAACAAAAACGAGAATCCAGCCAGCATTCAACCGAGCCATCATCATAAGTCAGCAGAACAGAAACACTTATTGCGCGATCAAATTAAAACAAAAACAAGAGAAAAATTACAGATCTGAGAAAAGAAGATCCAGGAAGGCAAAAAACAAGATCCAATAATTATTATATTTGTGGTGTGAGTGCTGAGAGTGAGACTACACCAACAAGGAATCGTACTTGACTACACGAACAAGGAATCGTACTTGTTGGATCCATAATTATGTACGACTGTGTTTGTGTGGATTAACACAAAGGCACAGTGAATGAGAACCTTCGGCCACCAATTGATCAGAGAACTTCGAACTTGTGTTACATACATGTGACTCATTGCAGTTGCATTTAATACTTCAGGGTTAAGAGCTTGTATCTGGGCCCACTGTTTAGCCACGTGTCTATACTGTATTCCAACAGAGCAGCCAACGAGTAATCATTCAGACTGCAAGACTGATTGTGTGTGTGTGTGTCAGCTTTGTTATTAGAGGTAGCTAATCCGTTGGCTTGTAAATTGATATTCATTTAAGATCAATTTAGTTTAATTTCATTTTACATTATCATTATTACCATCAATCTCACATGTATATTATGGTAATATCAAATTAAATTGATTTTAACAAATATCTGTTAACAATTCAATGAGTTAATTTACCACTTCGACTTGTTATATGTCTAGTCAAGGCGAATATTGTATTTATTTCCTCTTGTTTCCATAAAGACACCTTTGTTTAATTGCGTTTCATACTTTTCTTTTGATTTATTCAATTCAAGACAACTAAACATGGGCAGGGAAGGAAAGAAAAAGATGTGCAGAAATCAGTTCCGCAAGATCTTTCTGTAAGAAATTTTGAGCATCTCAATCTGCTTCCAACCGGGGATTCGAACTGTTTTTTTACCCAAAAGCTTTTATGGGTCAATACCGTACAACTTCATTGATCCATTTGAAAGCAAAGGGGTAAAACGACATCATCATTTACTGCTTGGCCAATTTCTAGCAAGATGACACAACTAGTACAATAATTTCGTCGTCAACATAGATATGTGTGTTGTCACGTTGAGCACAGGGGTAAAAAGGAACAAGACCATCATTGTAACCTTGAAATCGTCTGTAACATTTGAATATCTTGGCACGAGTCGAATTTCATTTGGAACAAAATGCAGAATCAATAGACAGAAAATCGATTAACACGACGAATTCCCCTGCTTAAGTAACAAAATTTAGGTTAAGAGTTAAGGAATAGTTTCATACTATCTACTGATTTAACGGGTTCACACAAGTCATAAGGCTCGTGCTCGAGAATGTTTTAGCATATGAGATTGTGATCGCGGGATTTCATCGTCTTCTTAACCCTCGTCACAAAACGTCTTCTGGAAAACACAACGGGTGAGTTTGACAGATGCAAAGCTTGCAGGTCTTGCATTGTTATGCTACACAAAAAGCATTAAAGAGAGTTAGTTTCGTATCACAAAAGAGTCTCAGAGGAAATAATTGGGGTTTGAATCAATAGGTAACACCGTAACAGACTAACTTGATAACTTCAAATTCTGAATGAGTTTATCCACCATGATTCTCTGCTTCACTCCAGTCAGAGATTCCGAGTTCATGATTGCATTAGAAACGACGATGATCAAAGATGGCGAACCAGCATTGAGCTAAATGTTAAAAAGAACCAAAGAGTTATGTTTACAAACAGAAAGGGAGTTGTAGAGAACAAGTCTGCAACAATGAAAATGTCCCAACTGAGAATTAAGTTTGGCAAGTGTCCAAGACCCAATAAAATCAGGCCCAGCAAGCAACGATCTTAGTTTGAACAGGTTTTACTATTGATACCGAGAAAAAAAATCTAAGATAATACGGAGATACAATGAATGCAAGCATAAACCCAAACAAGAACAAAGAATTTTACAAAAGTATGTATAGGCAGTAATGAAGTATACCCAAACACGGCCGTTCAAACCAACTGCTATTTCAAAGGAAATTTTCTTCCCAAGTTCCTCGAGAACTGGACATCTTGGCGATCTCAGCAACCTGTAAACCACATGACTGGTCAATTATAACATAGAAGGAGAATAAAAAAAAACCCTGTTTTATGCATTGACTATGTGCTTTAGACTAGAGTAGTATCTATCCCCTAAGAACTTCTTATATATCATAGAAAGGGAACTACATCTCACATTCTTGAAAGGCCAGTCGAACAGTCAAAATTGTAGCCATCTTTAAGGACGCCATACTCTGCTGCTTTTCCACTGGCTAGAAATCACACAACAATTTCAATCACAGTCGAGAAACCATCACAGGAATTCAAATCAACTTTTACAAGAGCTAATACACAGGGGAAACATATCGAAATATAGTGTGTCCCAAATGAAAACGAATAAGATAGAAAACCAACCATCAGTGCATGACAACTCAGGATTCATGCCAGGGTTTGCCTTCACAACCCGAACATACAGCAATGTACCCACCTGTCAAGTAACTGATTAGCCATTTCTAAACAGTACAAAATATAAAAACAAAGCCCAGAATTTGAAGTTGAAAGTGAGTAATTGACTATTGTGCTAACTGCTACGGACCAAAATTACAACAACGAAAATACTTCAATACAGGAAGAATTCCCTAGCGCTATTTGGCCAAGCAGCTTTTCTACATAATTCCAATTCTGGTTTTAAACTAGGGTTTCATAGCTTTAAACTGAACTTCCCATTGAAGAGATGCACCCCTGTTCCTTATCTCTCTCTCCTCCCATCCCCACCCCCAAAGAAAAAAAAAAACGATTTATGAAAATTACTTGTTTCTAACAAACATTTTCTAACTACACTGGAGCCTAATCATGTTCTAATTACTTGTTTGACGTGAACATCATTTAAGTTACAGTAAGTTAGAATCAGTCACTAATAACAAGATTATGACAAACTTTAAGCTCATAAACGCTCCCTCATATATTTACAACTTTTATTTTACTTGGGAGTAATAACAACTGGTCTAAAACAAGATGTTTCGATTGCGAGCGAAGTATTGAGGCTACTGATGTTATGTAGATCATACAGTTGATCCATAATTAGTAAGTATTGACAACAACAACAACAACAACAACAAAGCCTTTTCCCACTAAGTGGGGTCGGCTATATGAATCCTAGAATGCCACTGTGCTCGGTTCTGTGTCATGTCCTTCGTTAGATCAAGTACTCTAAGTCTTTTCTTAGAGTGTCTTCCAAAAAGTTCCTAGGTCTTCCTCTACCCCTTTGGCCCTGGACCAATACTCATGTTTCTGTATACTATCAATAATATGAGTAGCATAGCAACGCATATAGATGTAAATTAAACTTTACAAACCTCAAACTTTGGTATGTTTCGCCTAGTTCCTCCTTCAAAAGCAAGCACCGGCAGATACGCCAATGTAGGTCCTTTAATGTCCACCAGAAAATTCTAAATCCAAACAAATACAAACCAAATTCATAAGCAATGGACCAGCACCAAAGAACCAATAATCATCAAAATGCAACAAATACATGTTCAAGTTCTTACATCTGCTCTCGAATCCGCCACGATTCCAAGTACCGAGTCCCCCACACAGGGCACATACTGTACAAAAAAAACAACAAAATTGAAATACTATGCAACTGAAAAAATTATACTTTTGTATTTTAAAAGAGTGAATTGGAGGGAAAATTGCTTACCCTTTTCTGAGATGTTTCGACCCAATACTTGTTCGGCTTCGTAAACCTCAAAGTCCCAGCCTTCATCGCAACTATTGAATCAAAATCCTGAAATTTTCAATCTTTTATTCAGAAATGAATGCAAAGAGAGGGAGAGAGGGAGAGGGGGAGAGGGAGAGAGGGGGACGGAGAGAGAGAAAGGGACCTGGCGGAGACCGCCGCCGAGCTTGATGGTTTGGTTAGTCATGTCGGAGAGGTCGAGAACCACATCGCCGGGAATCTAAGCACCACGAAATTCGAAATTACAGAAACAAACGGACACTTTTTCCGTTCGAAATTACAAGCGAACCGGAGGGGAATAGGAAATAGGAGCTCTTACCACTGGCTTGTCGATGAAGCTCGCCGGCGAACCGGACACTTTTTCTTCCATTGAAATTCCGGGTTTTTGACGAGTAAGCGGCGATAAGAAGAAGCTCTTTCAGCAGGCTCGAGTAGAAGGAAGACGACAACGTAAGCGGCAGGGAAGCCCGCAATAAGGGTATTTAAGACCCGCCATTTTATATGCCCTAGCCGAAAACGACGCCGTATTGGCGAGCATAATTTGCTTATCTGTTCCTTGGAGATAATCCCGCGGCTTTTTACGACGGCGCAGGGAGACGGCTGCTTCTTCAGCTCCGACGAGTTCAGATTTCAATTCGCGTTACCATTACGACGTTGTAGAGATGGCGTTTGTAGTGCCACAAGGCTGGTATTCAATTCATTACCCGGCAATACAATCGGAGGCGGCGTCACACTACAAATTCCGATGTCCAAGTACGCCGTGCTTTCTATCTTTTACTTCAAAGTTTCATAATTTCTGCTCCGGAATCCAATTCCTGAAAGCCCCATCTCGGAAACCGATTCTGGGACGTGGGTTTTCGCGGGAGAGTTCGCTGCGCGAAGTGTCGTCGGCCGGCCAGCTGATTAAGGACTACGTGGAGGACGGGAACTTCGAAGATGCAATCACCATTTACGTCAAAGTTCTTGAATTTGGTCTGCAGGTTTCGGAATTTCGATTCTTTCCCTGTTTGATAAAGGCGTTCGGGGGGCTTTGTGATGCCGGAAAGGCTCGCGAGATTCATGGGCACGTCTTGAAATTAGGAGTTTTGGATGATGTTTACGATGTCAATTCGCTTTTGGGTGTTTACTGGAAGTGCGGGGCTGTTGAGGATGCAATCCAGCTGTTTGAGAAAATGCGTGAGAGAGATTTGGTTTCTTGGAATACTATGATATCTGGGCTTTGCCATTGGGGAGATTATATGGGTTCGTTGAGGATGCTTAGTCGGATGGTTAATGATTACTGGGTGTTGCCGAACCGGGTGGCTTGCCTTTCGGCTCTCTCGTCATGCTCTTCAGTTCAGTGTTCAGTTCATGGAAGGGAAATTCATGGGTTTGTTGTGAAAAGGGAGATAGCTACAGATCAGTTCTTGGTTAGTGGATTAATCGATATGTACATGAAATGTGGTGATGTAAAGAATGCGGAATATGTTTTTGGGAGCATTGTTTATGAAGAATCGATCATTGGGAATCCGGTGATATGGAATGTGATGATCTCGGGCTATGTTGCGAACGGGCGTTTGCCACAAGCAGTGGAGTTGTTCCTAGAGATGTTAGAAATTGGTTTATCACCAGATACTTCCACAATGGTCGCCGTTATAGGTTTGTGCTCTCAGCTGTTGGATTTAGCATTGGGAAGGCAAATCCATAAGTTCTATTATAGCATTCAATTGAACCATGATGCAAGAGTTGAAACGGCTCTTATGGACATGTATTTTAAATGCGGTGATAGCAAAGCTGGCCTTGAAATCTTTCAAAGATCTCAAAATCGTAACATTGTCATGTGGGGAGCTATCATCTCAATTTCGCTCAAGGCAATCGTCCTCATGAGGCATTGAATCTGTTCCATAACTATGTATTAGAATATGGCTTTGTGGATTCTGTCATCGTATTGGCTGTTCTGCGAGCCTGTTCTTCCTTGGCTGTTAGGCCTAGAGGCATGGAAATCCATGGGCTAGTAGTCAAAATGGGGTTTGATTCAGATGTTTTTGTCGGAGGTGCCTTAGTCGATATGTATGCGAAATGCAGAGACATGGAGTCAGCTCAAATTGTCTTTTATAGACTACCCGCTAGAGATTTGGTATCTTGGAATGCCTTGATATCTGGATATACTCAGAATGAGTTTCCAGATGAAGCTTTAAAGGCAATCCTCGACATGCAGTCCGATGGAGTCAAACCCAATGCCGTGACAGTTGCGAGTATGTTGTCGGTTTGTGCTCAGTTGTCAATCATGAAGTCGTGCAAGGAGGTTCACGGTTACCTTTTAAGACAAGAATTTGAGTCCAATGTTCTTGTGAGCAATTCCCTTATAACTACCTATGCAAAATGTGGAGACATAAAGAGCTCATGGGCTATATTTGAGAGCATGCCTGAAAGAACTGAAGTATCATGGAATTCAATTCTTTTGGGGTTAGGAATGCACGGCCATGCGGATGAAACATTCGGTTTATTAGAGAAAATGGAAGCAGCGGGAATGAAGCCTGACCATGCGACTTTTACAGCTCTACTGTCTGCTTGCAGCCATGCAGGGAGGGTTGAAGAGGGATTGAAATATTTTAAACGTATGGTCGAGGATTACAAAATTGAACCTCAACTTGAACAGTACTCCTGCATGGTTGATCTTTTAGGCCGAGCTGGCCATTTAAAACATGCATACGATATTATTTTGGCAATGCCTTGTACCCCAGATGATCGTATATGGGGATCATTGCTCGGATCATGCAAAATTCACCGTGATGAAAGACTTGCAGAAGTTGTGTCTGATCATATCTTTGAACTCGATCCTGCTAGTATTGGTTACCGTACACTTCTTGCAAACTTGTATGAAGAGTATGGGAAATGGAGTGATGTTACCAGGATTAGATCCGATATCAAGGGCAGGGGGCTCAAGAAGACACCTGGTTGCAGTTGGATTGAAGTCGATAGTAATGTTCATGTATTTATGGCGGGTGATCAGTCTCATAATCAGTTGGAGGAGATATATGCTACAGTTGAATGTTTAACAAATGAAATAAGGAAGGCAGGATATATTCCTCAATCACTTACAGTAAGTGTTCGGCATGATGAGGTTAATCATGAAAATCTTTCATCATTTAAACATGACGATTTGCTGTTTCCGGTTGCAAGTAGAAACCATAGCCGAACAGGTTCAGCAGAATTGATGATTGGATGATTCTCAGTCAATTGCTAGGCCATGTTGCTATTAATAGAGAGGAAACACTTTCACTGTTTCGAGTGATTGAGGAGGATTGAGATATTCCCATTCAGTGAGGCCTATCCATCTATCTTTGCAAGCGGTTGGCCTTTGCATATGGAAGCATTTCGAGAGTAAGTTTAACATGAATTTCTGATTAATTTGATGCGATTTGATATTATATTCAAACTTTAATTTCGGTTCAGTTTAAGAATTAAAGGTGCTACTTTTAGACAGAAAAGTTATGATCCCTTTTTCCTCCATTTATATGATTGGTGTTTTGGATGCAGTGTTTTGCAGAGAGCAGTTGGCCAGTTGCAACAAGTGGCTCAGTCTCCGCGGGATTCTGGAATTCAAATGATTAAACTGACGGATGAACGTAAAGTTTTACAGTCCCGTGATCATCCCATTGAAAGCAGATGAAACTGAATCATCTGCTGAGAAAACAAGGTAAAAGTACCTTTTACTTTTGTAAATTGGGGTGCAGGATGTGGGAGGGGGCAAGTTGGAGGAGATCTCTCAGTTAAAAACTTGAAAATTAAGCTGCATCTTAGGTAAATGCATTCGAGTTTGAAAACCGCAAATAAGTCTAGTTTGCTTCAACTGCAGGACAGTGTTGAGTGCTCATTGTTGCTTCACGATGGATGTTTCACAACCTCTACGACAGTTGTCATAGCTTTCTCAATGGGAGTGGCTACTGATGCTACATCGCAACCAGTGTGTTGAAAACGTGTTTCTAAAGATGTAGTGCAGCGATGGTTAAGGAAGAACCTTGAGTCTTTGGAATATCGTCGGGAGCTGCCTGGAGTTTCAAGACATGAAAATGTCGTCTGCAGCTGAAATAGTTTTCTGAGTTGGGTGTTTATGAGACTAATTTTCTGAAATTCGTAAGAACCCGTCTGTCGGAAAATGTACAAATGACCTGCTCAACACTGTACATAAAACATGAAGATTGCAGATCCCGGTTATGTGAAATGCATTTCTAATTTGTATAACAGTTTCATTTGCCACTTTGCCTTTTGCCATCCAATTTGTAAACCAGGTTGAAAGAAAGCAAGTTCTTGGTCATAAAATCATAAACCGGAGAAAATCTTAGGTATAATCGGTTGTATACAAGTCGCAAAATCAGAATGAGCAAAATTACTACATCTGTTGTATACAATCGGTGATATGGAAGGTTTTTGGATAAGTCGACGGTACCCTCGAAAGATTGTAACGAGGCAATTTCCAATAGGACCAGTACAGAGAGGATTGCCTGGAGAAAAAAGGAAGAACAACATCCACACAGCTGGGGTGTGGGGGAGGGACACTTTGACCCACCAACATTAAATTTCAAATCTTTTCTAACCTAAATATTTAGGTTGGATGTAACACAACAGCAAACTAGGTACGTACCCAATGCCTAATTTCACAACAATTTTTATGTCAAATCCTTTCAAGTTTGGTGTGTATACCATCAAAATGATGTCAAGCCACATTAGTATGAGTTGGAGTTTTCATAGGGCCTTTAGGTTCTTACATATATTATCACTTTATCAAAAGAAAACTTTGGTACGGTTGTCTAACTAGGTCACTCGTTTGACACTTACAAGAAACGGCACCCATGCTTTTAGTTTGTATCTATGTGTGGGGCTTGATAGCATTATACAAAATGGTCCATTCCTTTGTATGAGTTGGAGTTTTTATAGTGCCTTTAGGTTCTCACATATATTTTTTTTGGTAAAATAAAATGGTAGTAGTGGGCTACCACTCCGAGCCAGGTCGCTGTTTTTACGGAAAGCTCTTCCCAAGAGGCTTTTTTTAGAAGCGGATGATCGAATCCCTGACCTCCCTAAGGATGGTACACAGAAGAACCGCCCAACTTGTGGCCCAAACAGCTCTTATCTACTAAAACTTCAGTAAAGTTGTTTGACTAAGTGACTAGTCTGACTAATCTGACACTCGCAAGGAGCGGCACCAGTGCTATGTGCTTACGTGGACCTCGATACTATTCAAATACTAAACGGTTCATTTTTTTGTGAGAATGACTTGACCAATCATATAATCAGGCTGTTCTACTGAAATTTTCTCCCTTGCCGAATAATGAATCTTGAAAACAAACCCTTGGAGATTTCTTGACAACAAATCTAAACGATCAAAAGCTTGGCAATAATAAAAGCTGAGAAAATAAGGACAAATCTAGAAGTGCGCAGTAGTACAATTATTGAACTACTGGGTTGCCAGTGGGGTCCCAAATCTGATTGCATCAAAGATCTTCCTATGTAAAGCTGCAATAATTGATACATCATGAGATATTCTAAATAATTAATTAATACTAATCACCAAAAAAATAATTAATTAATACTGAATCAGTGTTAAACAAATCTATAAACCTTTAATGTAGTAATACAAATTGTGATGAAATTTTGTTACCAAGATTTGGAGCTGCAATTACATAAATAGTGGGATACAAAATCGTATAAACTTACATATATATATATATATATATAGTATATAATTAATAATATAGCCAAAACCCCCCAGACTCGGTTTATTTTAGTTCACCCTACACAACAACAATGTTTTCGACAATGTCAGCGATCGTTTCCTCGTTCTTTGGTTGTTCTATGTTTCTTTCCTCGTAAATACGTCCTATAATACATCGTATTCATTTTCGACCATACTTACAGTACCGTAATTCCATCACTGTTTATACCGTGGGAGTTGGAACCGAGGAGGTTCTCTAGTGATCTGTTTTTTCTGCTCCGGGTTCTGCCTGCTTCTTTCAATAACTCAGCCAGCCTTCTTTTCTCATCATCCACGTCGGGATTGGCTGTCCCGAGCTTTTCTTCCCTCATCTCAACAACGTACTCCAAGATTTCGATTGCATCCTCCAACCTGGGTTAATGATCACAACGATCATCAGAAAACCGTCAAAGAATCAACACATTTGCTAAACAAAAATCTATCCTCCAAAAGAGCAACAAAACACAAATTTCTAGAGCGTTATAAGTTCATATTTTCCCATGATTAATCGTGGAAACAACGGGTCTAAAGGAAAGCAAGGGCTGCACATAGCGCGTACGTACTTAAACTTATCAGGCTTTCAGTGCACGAAAAAGAACAGAAAACAGAACATGTGTGATAAGGAATACAAACAAGTCCCAACCAGTTGAGGATTTCCGAAACAGGACACTACCAAGAGAAGAACAAAAGCATGTGTAATGAAAATTGGGGACGACACAATGAAAGTAGTGTAAGGGCAAAGATAAAGATAGAGGGTACCTTCCAGCTGCATCATAAGTGCCAGCAAGATTGCTATATACCCCAAGTGTGTCAGGGTGATATGGTCCGCACTCGTGTTCCAAAATAGTCCTGGCTTCTTCGAAGAATTCTTGAGCCTCATTTATGGAATAACGTTGCACACAAGTAAGCCCTACTTGGTTAAGAACAATCCCGAAAAAAGCAGTTTTCTTCTCTCCAGTTGCGCGGAGCTTTGAAATGGCACTCTTGAAGGAGTCGTAAGATTCAGAATAACTCCCCAGCATGTAGTACATGACACCCAATTGGGCTTCAATCCCAGCAATGGTGCTTTGTTGACCAGGGGCATCATTGTATATCTTTAATGCCTTCTGTAGCAACATGACTGCCTGCTCAAGGTCATTCATCGATTCATAGATAGCAGAAACATCTGTGAGACCACTGGCCATCTCCTCAGGAGGGACTCCAGGCATGGGCTTTTCATAAATTCGGAGGGCATTCTCACAATATGATTTTGACTCTCTAACTTTCCCGGTCCTGTTATACAAATCAGCCAAGCGGATGAAGACTGAACCAACAGCCGGATGATTCTCTCCTTTGGTGGTCTTGAACACGGTGAGTGCCTTCTGATAAGCAAAAGCAGCTTCATCATAGCGAGACAAGGACAAGTATGTGTCTCCAATGCTACAATCAACCGAAGCCACCTCCACTTCCTGGCCATTTGCCACCATGGCCATGCTGGCTAACACAAGATGCTCGAGAGCAGCTTCATGATCACCCTTCGTCTCACATATAAGACCCATCAGTCTCCTATCTGCAGCCTCTTCGAGAGAAGAAGGGGAACCATTCTCTTTATGACTATCGAGAGCCATCTGGCAAAGCCTCTGAGCTTCATCAAATTGCAATGCTTGAACATGAGCTTCAGCCAAATATCGACAAGTCTCACCAACTCTCACATCTGTTTCTCCCAAAACTTGTTTCTGGATTTCCAATCCAGTTGAGTAATGCATAATTGAATTCTCAAGTTGGCCCAGCATAGCATAAGTATCACCCAACTGCATGTGACCAGCAAATTTAGCAAGGGCATGATTTTGGCCTCCGTCAACAGCTGAAAGCTCAATTGAGCGTTCGAGAAGAGGAATTGCCTCATGATACTGGCCTAAGCTACAGTAAATTGCTGCCGTGACGTGAAGGCACATTACCAGCTCTAAACAAGGTTTCCCATTTGCAAATAATTCAAATGATTTTCCAGCTCGAAGAGCTAATTCAAGAGCTTTCTGGGGATTATCCCCTGATGAAATCAAATCCCTTGCTTGCTTAAGCAAAAATGGCCCAAGATCTGGATTATATAACCCTGATTCAGCCAAATCCTCAGTTCCTTTCTGAAACTTTGACCCTGCCACAGATGAATTACTGCGTTTCTTCACAGGAGAGGGTCCCGCATGTTGTTTTTGGAAATTCTTAGCGCTAGGAATAGGAGGTTTGTCAGGACTTCTTCCCTTCGCAACTGATTTTGATGAAGTTTCAGTGTCCACCTGCAAGTGAGCAACTTTCTTCGAGTTCCCTGAAGAAACGGATTTTGTACTTGCAGCTTTAACCATCTTTCCTGATTTTCTATCTGAGGACGAACCTTTCTTAGAACTTGCATCACTACGAGAATCGTATGCTGGGTTTTCTAGCACTTCCTCTTCCATTATCTCCACCTCTCTCATCTCTCCGCCAACAAGATGACGTAACTCTGAATCTATCCTAGACTCATCACCATCCGATTGAAAACTATGCCTTGAAGGTGACTGATCAGAACTCTGCATATCACACACATTCTCATAAAGCTGCTCAATCGAGGTGTCAACCATCCCATCAACTGGACGATCAAGTCCTGTACTCCGGGGGATTTGCTGATTCAAAGTACTCTTCCAGGATCCATTCAGAGCTATATTTTCCTTACTTAGCATGGAATTTTCATGTGATTCATTTACCACCTCATCGACAATTCCAGGCATCGCTATGTACCCGAATCAACAAAACCTCTACACCAAATAAATTATCTGCAACAAACGGATCTCAATAAATCAAGCAGAAGATTTTAGCAGAATTCCGAATGCATACATACTGCACAAACCTACGGTTTCCATACATTGAAATAGCATTGAACAAAAAGAAAAATGCATTAGCAACAGCACCAAAATTCATTTAGGACCTTATAGCAATCTGATTTCGGGACTTTGTATGTTTATTGTTTACCAACAAACCTAATAAGCAAATATCAAACAATAACCAAAACATATGCACAACATACATTTGCTCCCGAACACAAATCAAAATACATTAAAAACATAAAACATTCATGTTTCTGCGTTTTAGCATTTCACTTTTGAACTTTGTATGTTTCCCAACAAACCAAGGAACCAAATATCAAGTTAAACCTAACGGAAAGGTTGCTCCTTTGTGACCGAAAGGTCACGAATCAAGTCGTGGAAACAGACTCTTTGCAAAGCAAGGGAAGTTCCCCTAACCTCGCAAACTAAGGAGCCTTGTTGGCTTAAGGTCGTCCTTTATCCGTCAAAGGAAAAAATGAGAAATAAATAAAACACAAAATGCCCTCATCGGATCTTCACAAAAAAAGAAGAATCCAATCAACCCACATAAACGCATATTCCATACAAAACTCATATCACCATTGGAACATGCCAAAGATTAAAACCAACAAAATGAACCCATCAACAATCAAATCAACTTCTTTTAATATTATTG